AGGTGGAGTGGTCGTCCTCCTCCAATGAGAGATGTCCGCTAATGAGACAAACAAAACAGACCTGTACCCGAGTGTCAGGTGGAGTGGTCGTCCTCCTCCAATGAGAGATGTCCGCTAATGAGACAAACAAAACAGACCTGTACCCGAGTGTCAGGTGGAGTGGTCGTCCTCCTCCAATGAGAGATGTCCGCTAATGAGACAAACAAAATAGACCTGCACCCGAGTGTCAGGCGGAGTGGTCGTCCTCCTCCAATAGGAGACGACCACGAATAAGACACATTGGACAGATGGCGGAGAGAGAAGGACTTGAACGACAAACAACCTTCTCCTATAAAAGGTGAACACTATTCACTCTCAAGGGATCCGAAATCGACACACTTAACACATATACACTTTGTATTCTCTCCTCTCTTTTTCCTCTCCCTGAGTCCCTGACTTTACCATCGGAGGGGTTTCCGACCAAATCCCGGTCGGGCAGCCTCACCGTTTGTTATTCTGTGCAGATCTTCAATTCCCAAAGCCTGATATTCATCCACGAAGTTCAACCCTTCTTCATAGTGCGGAAATCACCCCCGCACACACACAAAAAAAAAAAAATAAAAAAAAAAATGCTATGTAATTTGCGGGGTTTTCAGCTTGTTTTTGTCAAATAAAAGAAAAGATGCTTTCCAAAGATTTGCTGGAATATATTTGGAGGCCAAGGATGATATTATTATTGTGTTGGGAGAGAGAATAAAGCGTTCCTCTCCAGAAGAATTCCATGAAGCAGTCATGACAGCTCACTCTGTTTGGCCTACATAACTGGCTGGCAGTGGACAAGAATTTTCTTGTCTCTGCAGACCAACAACAATGCCAACTCCAGTCAAAATTAGAGGTTGCTGAGGCAGGGGCTGCTAGATTCAAGTTATGTTTGGATTTTCAATTTGTGCAGTGAAAAGAAAAGTGAAGGGTTTTGTGGGGGAAAAAAAATCCATAAATCCAAGATCTAAACCTAAACATTGGTGTTTTCATGAGACCAGACATTCTATAAATGCAAGGGACCACAAAAGCATCAAAACAATCACAATATATAAATAAACAAAAAAAAAAAAAAAAAACAAAATATCACCATATATAAATGCATGGGATCATAAAAGCATGAAATTAACAGGGATAATATATAAATGCATGGTAGCCACAATGGAAAAAACAAATGCAATGTCTTTTAACAACCCCACCAACAGATGACTCTGTTCCAAGACAGCATTTTCTTTACTTTTGTTCAAAAAGCAAACAACAAAAAAATAATTACGAAATCACTTTGTAAAGAAGCTAACAAAAAAAACAAACAACAAAAAAATAATTAAAAAATCACTTTGTAGAGAAGCTAACAAACCAAGACCCCGGTTATAGCTAAAGCGGTTACGAAGGGGTACTTAGGTGCCAAGGTGAGGTTTCATGTTGGAGTTTAAAAGTCAAAAAATTATTAAAAAAATTAAAAAGTCAAAATTCTAAAATAAAAAGTTAAAGATTTATTTTTTTCTTTACTTTTTCTACATATTTTCATAAGAAGTTAAAAAATTATCTTAATAATACTAATTTTTTTACCTCATATTTTAATCAAAAAATTACTAAAATAATATGTTTCCAAGCAATTCTATTCCAAAAATGTTGAAAAAAAATGTTTAAAAATTTAACAAATAAAAGCTTCAGAAATACCGTATATATTAAACAATTGGAGTTGTTTGGGGTGTCTTAAATAAGTACACTTTTTGTCTTTTTGAACTAAAAAGTTGAGGAAAAAAATATGGTTGTTTGGGTTAACTTTTTGACTTTTTATAGAAAAATGTGTATTAAAAAATTAGTGTGTAGGAGAAAATTAGGATTAGAAGTTGTGCAGCCGTAATTTTTGACTTTTGATAAATAGTGATAGCTTTTTAACTTTTAAATAATTTTTTGACTTTTTAACTTTTTTGTAATTTCCCAAACTTAGCCTAATTTTACACCTACCTAGTAAACATTGCTCGAGAAAATAAAGTTAAAATACTCAAGCATACTCAGTGCCGTTTTGGCAACACACCAAAAACGTAGCTTTTTGTGTGTGTGTGTGTGTGTGTGTGTTGCCAAAAACGCCAGGTTGCCCAAAACGTCCCAAATCCCATTTGGGAAGACTAAAAATGCAACACCTAAATTTACCAAACTATCCTCTAGAAAATTTTAATTAATTAATTCAAAAATCAAAAAGTAAGGATATTTTAGTCATTTTCGAGTGATGTGACACTTTTAAAAAATATTAAACCAAAAATCAAAAAAGTCAACTTTTTACCAACTTCTCAAATCACTTTCAAAAAAGTCAAAAAGCTTGATAAAAAGTCAAAAGCCAACTTTTTACCAACTTCCCAAAACATTCCTCAAACAATCATAAAACGCAAAAAGTTAAAAGACACAATCAATATTTTAGGGACTACATAAAGGCGTTGTTTGGCAACCTGAGATTCAGGCTATTATAGCTTAAAACTGAAAATCAGCCCAAAAGCCTAACTGTAGCAAACTTTTTCTTGATTTTCAAAAAAAAAAAAAAAAACTGACTGTTGGTCGGCTGCTGCAGCAGTGCAGCCTACACTGCCACCAACAGTGTAGGCTGCAGGTTTGCTAAATTACATTATTACCCCTATTCCTCAATTTTTTGAAAAAATAAAGTGAAGGGTAAATTTGTAATTTCAATTTAAACATCATTTCAAACACATTTTTCAATACAACAATCAACTTAAAAATTTAACTCAACTTTCCAAACACAAAATTAAAATAGCCAAATAGCCTCCTAAAATAGCCACTTCCCAAACGAGGCCAAATAAGGGTTGGTTTGACAAGTTTCAAAAAAATTAAAAAGTCAAAAAGTTACTATTCTATTTAAGTCACATCATCTTATTTAAGTCACATTACCTCTCTAACATCTCTTCAAACCCAATTCAAATCGAACCCATATTTTATAAAAAGTCAAAAAGTGCACTTATTTAGATCATTCCAAACAAATTTGCAATAGTTTAGAGGGTAAAACCGTAATAAATCAACGATATCAGTGTGTTTGATGGTCAAATCCAAACCAAGCTCGTCTCAAGTTCCAGGTCAGATTTCTGCCGTGTTGTTTTAGAGTGAGGGTGCTGCTGATACTTGAATTTAAAAATAGTTTTTGCATAGAAGTTGACTAGTGGACTTGGTTGGTTAAATTTTTGGATTAAAAAATTTTAAAATTCTTTTTAAATTTTATAACTAGATAAAAAATTTAAAACTCATTTCAAAAATTCTTTACAAAACATATAATCAATTTTTTTAAAAAAATTCTATTAAAAAAAAAGCAAAATTTCAAAAATTATTTTTTTTTATTTTGTTCTTTAAAATTTTTTTTTATTTTTTTTCAAAAAATATTTTTTTTTTTGAAGAAAAATATTTTTATATTTTTATTTTCCAAAAAAATATTTTGTTATGCTTTTAAATTTTGGCCAAATAATTTGTTATGATTATATATGGGCCATCTAAATTTTTTTTAAATTAAATATTTAAAAAAATATGTAACAAAAATTTAAAAATTTTAAAAATTAAAATATTTAAAATTAAAATTATATATTTAAAATAAAAAAGTAAAATTTTTAAAATTTTGAAATATTAAAAAAAATAATTAAAATATATATATATATATATATATATATTTAAAATAAAGGGTAAATTACACTGACACCCCTTGAGTATTATCTTTAATACAAATACCCCCTCATGTTCTAGAAATTACATTCCTCTCCTTAAGGTTTAAAGTTTTATTACAATTTAATCTTTCCGTTAGTCAACTGTTAAGTCAACTAATGGAAAAAGCTAATATAAGAAATTAATTTTTTTTAAATACCTATCCTACTCTTATTAAAAAAGAAACATTTAAAAAAAATAAAAATTATTACATGAGTAAAGAAAATTTGCAGAAAATTACAAAAATTATTATACTATTAAACATTTAGATAATACTATGGTACACAAGCTTTTATGGTGTTAATCATCACAAATATTATAATTAGATCATTTTCAATCATAGCTAAAAAAATAATTATAACCAAACACTGCATAAGGTATAATTAAATACTTTAGGAAGCGTAACTAAATTAATGTTATAATAAATAGTTATAATTAACACCATAATAGGTCATGGACATATAAAATTTTTCTGAACGGTAAATTGTTTGTCAATTTTATATATGCAAACAAAGGTGAAATAGGTATTTAAAAAAAATTAATTTCTTATATTAGTTTTTTCCGTTAGTTGACTACGGTTGACTAACAAAAGGATTACATTGTAATGAAAATTTAAACCTTATGGGGGAGATGTAATTTCCAGAACTTAAGGGAAGTACTTGCATTAAAGACAAATAAAATTAAATTTTTTATAAATATTTATAAAAAAAAAAATCCAAAGCAATGTCAAAATACAAATCAACACTCTTTTCAAAATTCATAATTAAACAAATTTTCTCTTTTCAAAACTTATTTTCAAAACTTATCTTTCAAAATACAATTCAAACCTTACTTCAAAAATTGAGGAGCCGTATTTTCCACTTTCCAGACCAAGTCCCAGTATTTGGTTTGGGCAAAAGAACATCTAATAGTCCTGCATTGTACTAGCTCTGGATTTGGTCTTCAAAATTCATAGTCAAGCATGGGAGTATCTTCCTACCTCCTTCCTTCCTGTAGGAACAAATAACAATTTCCTTTTAATTTGATTTTGATCGTCAGAAAAGATATTTTCATTTGAGCTATTTGTTGCATTAGTTTTGAGATGGGTTATCTTGACATGAAGATAGAAATAGAGAGGGGATTGCAATGGAAAGGCCGAAACAAGAGGATTGAAAGTTTAATGTCCAGGTCAGTCACCACCAACAATGAATCCAGTGGTCCAAGTGATCACAGTTTAGGATTCAAGTTGAAACAGCCAATGCATTCTTGTGTTATTGTTGAAGATCGTGGGGAATATCAAAGCATGGACCTTGAATTGTACTGGGCTGCGACAAAAAACAATGTCGATGCGTTCATTGATGTATTAGAACATGTTTCACGAAAGAAGGAACAATCATTGTCAACTATTATTTTTGATCAGGTAAGTCCCATGGGAAATACATTGCTTCATATTGCCGCAAGCTTTGGAAATGAAGAGACTGTGGGGCTGATAGCTTACCATTTTCCGCCACTCATCAAGAAAAGAAATTCTGAAGGAGATACCGCATTGCATGTTGCTGCAAGAGCTGGACATGAATTAACTGTCACAATTCTCGTTCAACTTAGAAAAGATTTTGTGGATTCAACTTTGTGTTCTGAAAATGGTGGAAAAATTCAGAGAGATGTTGATTGGGGTAATCTGCTTTTGAGGGTAAAGAATGAAAAGGGCAACATAGCATTACACGAGGCCTTGATGAACGGTCACCAAGTTGTAGCTTATTATTTGATCGCGGTAGATCCAGAAGTGTTATATTATCTGAACAATGAAGGCAAATCAGCTCTGTTTCTGGCCGCTGAAGCTGGGTATTTGGAATTTGTCATGCATATTCTGTGTGATACAGTTGGGATTGAAAATACAAATGAAAGGCTTAAAGGGAAATCACCTATTCATGCTGCCATTTTAAAAAGAAACCGAGGTAATTCCAACACTTTATCTTGATTTCTCTTTGGTTTTTGCTTTATTGTTTCTCAATTTATTTTAAAATGCTAGGTGTTTTAGAAGCCTTATTGAAATCAGAACCAAGGTTCGTTCAATTAGGAGATGAAGAAGGAAGGACTCCACTTCATTTGGCTGCATCATTAGGTTATCTTGAAGAGGTTCAGTATTTGTTAGGAAGACAGAGTTCAGGTGCTGTTGCAAGGGACAACAATGGCTTATTTCCTATTCATTTGGCATCAATTAAAGGCCACGTTGATGTTGTCCAGGCGTTGCTTCAGTATTGGCCTGATTCGAGGGAACTGCTCAACTGTCATGGTCAGAATATTCTTCATGTTGCTGCCAAGAGTGGAGGACATAACATGGTTAGCTACATTCTCCAAACTCCTGAGCTCGAGAAGCTTATAAACATGAGCGATAAGCATGGAAATACACCCTTGCATTTGGCCACCATGGATTGGCACCCAAAGATTGTTAATACCCTAACATGGGATGAAAGAGTGGACTTAAAATTAGTGAATAACGAGGGTATGACTGCTCTTGATTCTGCTGAATACCATATGGAAAGAATGCCCTCATTTCGAAAGGTATGCACTCAGCTAATTAAATAACCCTGTAAACACTTCAGATACCTAATCAAACATAACAAAATGAATGTCCTTTTCCTTCTGGTTTTTTGGGTTTTATTTATTTATTTTTATTTGCATCAATTCCACTTACATTAATATGTCAAAATAGGGTCCAAGCAGAGCTGTATCTATCATTATTCTTGATTAATGTTTTGTAATGGTAACTGTTGTGAATCTTGTGCCAGTCCATAGATACAATCTCAAAATGCTTCTTCACTTGTACTGCTAAAGATAAAGTTTTCCAAAGGTTGTCTGTGAACATTCCTTTTCATAGTACTATCAATTATTATTTAGCATTGACTGGAAGGAATTTTAATGGACTGCTATTTTAATTGCCTCATAGCTTAAATTTGTGGGACATTGTTATCTTGCAGCGGTTAACATGGACTGCGTTGAAGGCCGCTGGTGCACCACGAGCTTACTGTAGAAAAGCCCTCAATGCTAAAAAGAAACAAGCATCTATGCAGTTAGAGCAGTGGAACATAGATAGCTATAAGGACCGAGTCAACACTCTTCTGTTGGTGTCCACCCTCGTTGCCACTGTGACTTTTGCAGCCGGTTTCACAATACCCGGTGGCTACAACAACTCTGACCCTGACCAAGGCGTGGCAACTATGCTAAAACAAAACTGGTTCCACATGTTCATTTTCTGTGACACCATAGCCATGTATAGCTCTATAATTATTGCTGTTACCCTCATATGGGCACAATTAGGGGACCTCAATTTGGTCCTTACTGCCTTCAGATTGGCACTGCCACTTCTGGGAATCTCTCTCACCATGATGTCTTTATCATTCGTTTCTGGAGTGTATGTTGTGGTGAGCAATCTCAATTGGCTCACCAACGCTGTTCTAATCATGGGCTTGGTTTTTCTTACCATTCTGATAGCTCTCTTCATTCCACTATGCATCCCAGTTTCGTCAAATTACCCCATTTTACGCTACATTTTCTACTATCCATTTCATTTGCTGATATTTGTAACCAGAAGTTACACTCAAGATGATTTGGTAGAGTATAAGTCACTTTGGTGGATGTTATGATATTTATATTACAGTTTGTAACTCTCTCTATTATGGATCTTTATTTACTATGGCAAATTTTTGTATTACTACACATTTATTATGTTTACAGTTATGGGTTGGCCTACAGTCATATGAAACATAGGAAGGTTTTCTTTTACTGTTGTACTTGTAATCTGAGCTACAAATGTTAATCAGAGATATTCAAGAAACTGAATTTTGATAAAATTAAACTGTAATTTAAAATATTGGTTGATGTGCTCTTGAATTCTAGTACTCTTAGGCCATGTTTGTTTGGATGGACATAAGCTTGGGATTGGACTAATAGTCCAATAAAATTATTAATCCGATATTTGGTTAAACAATTGAAGTATGGACTAATTATTTTAAACTTGACTATTAGTTAAGATAGGATATATAATCCAACGGATTCGTAATCCTAGGACTATTAGTCATGGAAATGCTAATCCAGTCTGCCCAAACAAACGTGGCCTTATATAATTCATGAAGCAGAGCTGTCAGCAACTTTCATTTGAATTTTGCATCTCAAATGTTTTTTGAGTTCTTTGTTGTTCTTAAAGAATCAAAAAGCAAAACCTGCATATCAAAGATTCATATTGGATTTCAACTTCTAAAGATCCATTTCAAGAAAAAAAAAATTGTTTAGTACAGTTGGTGAGGAAATAAAACAAATGATTGTGATTTCCCAACATTTCAAAAAGTAAATAAAAGAGGGCACATTTGTTTTTTTTAGTTTATTTGCTCTGTATTTAAAGGGAGTGGTGCTATTAGCACCCCATAAATTATTTTGGACCTTCTAATTTTTAGGATTTTTTATTATTACAATAATAACCTCAAATAAAATTACTACAAAAGACATCATTAATTTTGGGACACCCCATCTCACAATTAAACCTACACACCCACTATATCATGAATTAGAGTTTATGAGAGCCCTCGCCTCTTTCACCACCCATCAATCTTCTTCAAATCCCACTTTCAAAATCTATCTACCCTTAAAACCTTGAAAACTTGTTGGCAGCAATATTCTGACGATAACGGTAGCAACCATTTGATTACCTACATTCAACGATCAAAACATGAAAATTTTTTAACACATTGAACGGTCAAAATTGTTAACGTTAGAAGTCTTCATATTTTCAAGTTCGGGAATACAGACCCAAACATTACTTATTTGTTCAGAAAGATGTTCTCGAACAAATAAGTAATGTTCGGGAATATAGATCCGAACATAGAAATTTCTTAACACATCGAACGGTCAAAATTGTTAACGTTTGTAGTAGTATTTATTTTTTTCAAGTTCGGGAATACATGCCCGAACATTACTTATTTGTTTGTGAACACATTCCCGAACATAAATTATTTGTTTAGGACTGTAGGTCCGAACATGGAAATTTGTTAACGCTTTCAATGGATAAAATTCTTAACACTTGCAGAAATTTTATTTTTTCAAGTTTGGTAGTTTCAGTTTTGAAGAAGCAACGTGAGAGAGAGAGAGAGATAAAGAGCATACTAACTGTGACAATGGTTAAATCGGCAGAAACAATATTCTTCTTCTTCTTCTTCTTCGTCGTGGGTTTTGAAAAAGATCAGACTCTTCTTCTTCTTAGTAACTTTTGTTAGGGTTTTTTTGGAAGGGAGGTTGTTTTTGAGGGTGTGGGGGTGTGCATTCAATGGGTAGAATGTTTAAGGATAATTTTGGTATTATTTGGGGGGAGAAATTTTTTTTTAAGGGTTTCAAAATTTATAAATGGGGGTCAAAAATAATTTATGGAGTACTAATAGTACCACTCATTTAAAGGGATAGTTGAAGTTCCATTTTAAAAAATTTATAGAGAACAAATTTTTTTTTTCTTTCTCTCTCACTAATTTCATCATTTTTTTTTGAGAAACAAAATATGAATTTAAAGGATTTATCTTTCTCACAATTTCACTTCTTTTGTCAGGATTTATCACCTCCTTAAATCATCTAAATAAAGTAATGAGATTTTTTTTATTCTTTTTTATTTTTTATTTTTCATTTTTCCCACCAAACCCTTAAATCTAAACAAGCTGTTAAACTACAAAACTGATACCGATTAGATGCAACTGGGGTTATCCAAACTTAGTTTCTTCTACATTAGCATTGATCTTTTTGATAAAGAGGGTGTCTGCAAGTTGTTTTTTTCAAGCAGAGGTTGCATCCAACTAGCTAGTTGTATTTTTATATTTTGTAACTAGAAAAGAAAGGATCTATGATCTTGCGAATTACTTATTAATAAATCAAAAAATTATATGCAAGAACCATAACATTTCCTGATTTGTCGGTAAATTTACTTTGCGTATTAGTCTAGTTAGGTTTCATAATTCTTGAGACAAAATTGAGTTACAATTATTGCTTTGTATTGTAATTAATTTTAGCAAAATTAAATGTGTTATGGAACAAGTGAGTAAAGCTTTACAAACTAATCAAAGCAAGAAGTGGATATTAATTTTGAAATTTGAAGAAAATACAAATCTCACAGTTTTAAAATAATTACATGGATCTCCTTTTTAATATGGTTGAAGAGACTAAAACTACTACAAATTATGTGAAAATAAAACAATAAATAATGAAAAATATTTTAGTATAAGATAGATGATATTATTACTCTTTCATCCATATGACTAACGATTTATTGAGAAGAAAAAAAAAGTTATATGAATTTAAATTTTAAAAAAATTCAAAAACATTATATTAAAATTGTAGAATTTATTGCATTTTTTAGTTAGTGTAATTTACCCTATATAATTTGGATGAAAAAAAATGCGTAGTCAAAGCAAGTCTTTCTTAGCATGACATTCAAGTCCTATCTATATATTATACCAGGAAATGTGATTTCTAACCTACAAAACTTAAGAGAGTTCCAATATTTCAATCTTAATTTCTTAATTTTTCTAATTTTTTTTATTATTTAAAATAATAAAAAAATCCCACTCATCCTTATCATCAATGATGCCTCTTCTTCCTCTTCTCAACTATCATCAACAATCCCTCTGCTTGGCCTCATATTTCGAACAGTAAGCAAACTTCAATTTGTAACTCTTCATATACAGTGATTTTTCTTTTCATCTATTTTTAGTGATTTTTTCTTGATATTTGATTGTTATTCTTTTCATCTATTTTTAGTGATTTTTTTTCTTAATATTTGAGTCAAGCCTTATGGAAGCTCTAATATTTCAATCTTAATTTCCTAATTTTTTGATTTATTAAAAAAAAAAACCTTCCGCCCACCATTCAATTTCAGCCTTTTTGAATTTTGAAAACCATAAACCCTACCACAACAACGTTCAATTTCAGCCTTTTTGATTTCTCCATATACCAATGCACATCATATTTTTTTGCAATCTTCACTTATTTTTTCTATGAGAAGGACAAACCAAGATATATATATATATATATATATATAGAGAGAGAGAGAGAGAGAGTTGGAGAGAACATGGAAAAAAAGGCTGACACATCCACAGTCACAACTCCAATACTATCTTCAAAGTCTATAAATAATCTTTTCATTTATTTTTTAATGATTATTTTTTTAAATTTTTATTATGAGCAAAAATGTGATTGTGGTTTATTACATTCCGTTTTGATCACACGGTGATTGTATTTTAAATTGTGAGTTTTTTAACTCACTGGTTCTTTGAAAAAAAAAAACGATTGTGTTTTTTAAATATCAATTAAAAAAATTTGTAATTAATTTGTGATTGAGTTTTTAACTCATTGTATTTGTGATTGTGTTTTTTAACTATCAACTGACTTCATTTCTTTTCTTTTTATTATGAGCAAAAATATAATTTTTTTTACATGTTTTGATCATACAGTGATTTTGTTTTTCAATTGATTGTATTTTTTTTGCACTCCATTTTGATCACATGATGAGAAGAAAATTTGTTTCGGTTGTAACAATTTCTATGCTTTTTGAAAAGATAATTAGATTGTATTCATTAAGTTTACACGATAGTATTCACTATCATGATGATTGGATTGTATTTTGTTTAGCAAAAAAAATTATAATTTGATTTCTGAACTCACTGTATTTTTTGAATTTTTTTTGATATTTTTTGACTATTAATTGACTTAATTTGTGATTGGATTCTTAATAAACTATGTTTTTTGAAGAAAAAAAATAATAATTGAATGATTGTGTTTTTTAACTTGCCATTGACTTCATTGTTTATTTTTTTGTTATAAGCAAAAATGTGATTGTGTTTTTTTATATTCTGTTTCGATCACACAGTGATTTTATTTTTTATTTGATTGTGTTTTTTTACACTCCATTTCGATCATGTTATGAGAGAAAAAAAATTATTTGCGTTATGACAATGTCTATGTTTTTTTTAAAAAAAAATTGAATTATATTCATTGTATTTTTTAACTACCAATTGATTTCATTACTTTTCTTTTTATTACGATAAAAAATTCACATGAAAAAAGTAACCTCCACAGTCACATCCTTCACTTCAACACAACTTTCGCAATCTTCAATTCAAGGTCGCTAAGTAATCTTTTCATTTATTTTTTAATGGTTTTTTTTTTCATTTATTTTTTTTTATTATGAGCAAAAATAATATTATGATTTTTTACACTCCGTATTGATGACACAGTGATTGTATTTATAAATTGATTGTGTTTTTTCACACTCTATTTTAATCACATAGTAAGAAAAAAAATTATAATTAGATTTTTTAACTCACTAAAACAAATTATTGTGTATTTTAAATATCAATTAAAAAAATTTATTTGGATTTTTAACTTATTGTGTTTATTGAAAAAAAAATGATTGTGTTTTTTAACATTATGTTTTTTTACACTATATTTTAATCACATGGTGAGAAAAAAAAATTATAATTGAGTTTTGTAACTCACTGTATTTTTTGAAAAAAAAAATTATTGTGTTTTTTAAATTTAAAAAATTTGAAATTAATTTGTGATTGAGTTTTTAACTTACTGTGTTGTTTGAAAAAAATGATTGTGTTTTTTTAATTATCAACTGACTTTATTGCTTTTCTTTTTATTATGAGCTAAAATGTGATTCTATTTTTTCACATTCTGTTTTGATTATACAGTGATTTTATTTTTTAGCTGATTGTGTTTTTTTATATTCTATTTTGATCACATGATGAGAAAAAAAAATTGT